TTTTATTTTATTTTATTTTATTTTATTTTATTTTATTTTATTTTATTTTATTTTTCTTATTTTTGGTTGTGAACCTAGCCTTTACTGGCTGTCCAGCCCCATTTTATTTTTCTCAATGCTTTCTTTTGTTTGAATTCTGAGCTACAGTCTGAGTCACTTGTAAACTTCCAGGGAACTGAACCCTGGACTCTCAGATTCAGGCTTAGGAGCCTTATCAATGGAGCTATCCAAGCCTCCCAGTGAGTCTTAACCTAGGTAATCTGGAAATGATTTTAGCAGAGACAACCAGTCCATCTTAGAATTAGCCACTGCTCCGGTTTTCCAAAACAATGCACATTTATGTCAATCAAAAGAAGGAAGTTATATTTATTATGCACACATGTACAACATTTTTCAACACACTGTATTTGCGAATATGCTTAAGGGATGAATGTGTAATTGTTTCACATGTGTAAGATGCACAACCACAGGGAAACTGAGTCAGTCAGACTAATCCAGAAGAAGCTGGCAGCAACCCCAAGATCAGAAGCGACAGACACACCAGTAGAAAAGCTCCTATGTACCACCAAGCTGAAAAAAGGTCTAATAATAGCACACTGCAAGTGTGAGGATGTTGAGACTCCCAACAAGGGAGCCAGATACACACAGGTGATGCTCATTTCCTGAAAGATGAGGCCGCTGGCCATCCTTGCTGGGTCTCCAGAACACAGGAAGAAGACCCTGAAAGCGATGGCTCTGTGAGGCAGGAAAGGGATGAAGGGGGCAGGGCGGGACGTGGAAGTAGGGACGAGGCATTAAAAGGAGGCCACCTCAGTATTACCTGTGGCCTTACAGCCTCAGCAAGGCTTCCTGCATGAGCTAAAGTGAGCCCGTGGTTCTATCAACTTGGGGCCAGTGTGGCAGGAGTAGGCTTGGTATGTAGGCTAGGGTTTGAATGGATAGTTTTGTGAAATACCTGAGTGTCCTAGGTCAAATGACTTGATCAGGGACTTTACAGTGGTTGCAGAGTCTGAAGGAGCTGGAGATGTCCTGTTGACATAGACTCCACGCCACCGGCCAGCAGCATCGACATCTGAGGGTTCTGACTCTTCATTCACAGGTCTGTATGGCAAAGAGCACATCAAATTGAAAAGGTGGAGGGTGTCCTCAGTGGAGAAAAGGCATAGATGGAAACAAAACCAATGTGGACAAAATATACAAAGCTGGAAGGGGAATCCCAATTTCAATAGCTGTTTTAAATTTTTTTAGTTAATTAAGAAAACGCTGCTCTCAATTTTTCATACTTTCTTAGGAAATTATCAGAAATAATATATCTGTAAGTAGAATAGTATCTCTAATTGAAAAATACGTGAATATATCTGCAAATGTGAAGAAACACACCAGTGTTATTTACCATAAATAACTGTCAGCAGTATACACAGTGGGCTGACCTCTTGGCATGTGCTCCAAACCTCATGTGGCACACTCAGAGGTTGGAGAGGTGAATCCTAAGACTCTAGCTTACCCAAGTTTCATATGACTTAGGATCCTCATCAGAGACTTGGCGAGAGCCAGGACATGAGACATTTACTATGTTAACAGGAATTGTGGTTGTAGCTTTCTAAATAGGTGGGCAACCTCCTGGTTTAGTGTTCCCATCATGGTGAAGACAGCAGGTCTTCCAGTAGTCCGGTTGTGTTGTAACCTCAGAAACCTGTTCCTGGAAGCTCAGTCTATAATCTAGTTGGCTTACTTTTCTCATCAATTCTGCAAGTTACTTAATACTTTTCTGCTTAAGCCAACTGAAGTGTAACCCATTACATACACCAGTCCTTCTTCATATGTTACTTGCCCTCTGAGAGCAAAAATAGAAATTCTGTGTGAAGCTTCTACTCTCATGCAAATTTTCTCTACGCTCTGTGGTTTCTAAACACCAGCAGAGACTCACAGGGGGAGACTATTAAAGATAGATCATATGACTCTGCTCTCATGTGTGGCTCCCTTATCTAGAGGATTTTAGGATGTCATTTAATCTCCTTGTGAATGAGCCAAAATGAGAACTCCCAATCTCCCTATTGCTAAATCACTACACTTTTTATTATATCATATCATATTGCCACAGCTGTTGTGCAAGATGACTAATTTATGAGAAAGGCTCAAAAGGAATATTTCTGGAAATATATTTTAATAAGGTCAGTGAAGGTTTAAAATATCTCCCCATGTTGTGAAACTAACCTAGCTATGCATAAGCTTCTATGAGAGAATTTACTTGTCCTTAATTCTCTTAGCTTTTTTCTATTGCTAATCAACACAAATAGGCTAAGCTTAAGTGAGGCTAAATTAAAGCACTTAAACCACTTCCCTACACTCTCAACTGCACAGCCCTTCTTTTTGAATGGAAAAAAAAATCAAAATAAAAACTTCCTTGGGAGAAACCACCCCCGCAAGGGTTTCCCTGTATAGCCTTGGCTGTGCTGGAACTCACTTTGTAGACCAGGCTGGCCTCAAACTCAGAGATCCGCCTGCCTCTGCCTCCCCAGTGCTGGTACTAAAGGTATAAGCCACCACTGTCTAGCTATTTTTTGTTTTCTTAAATAATTTTTAATGATTTGCTGCAAGGTGGTGGTGTAGCGTTCCCCACCTTGTGCTACATGGTATTAAATCAAACGTTGGGCCAGTGTGATTGTGTGACCTCTGGCCCCAGATTGAGGCCAAGCTGGGCAAAATGGAAAGATTCCATCTCAAATAAGTAAATAAGTAAAGGAATTAAAGAAAAAAAAAAAAGAAAGATTAGCTAGTAGGTATGCAGAAAGAAAATGAAACCAGGGTAAAAGATCAGGTCTGAATGGGGGAAAAAAAATCTTATTCCCACATCAGCAACTCTCAAGCTACCTTAACCAGTGGGCCACCTTCCATTCCATTTAACTGGCTTATTGCCAAAGAGCATCCAAGGCATTGAATGTCACTCCTTGTCAATTTAACAGGAAGAAAACGCAGGCTCCTACATTCTACAAGTTATTCTTTTTAGGTATCTAAGTTTCCCAGTGATTTGAAACATCAAATGATAAGTGGGAAGATTTATTTAGGCCTCAAAAGAACATAGCAATAAGAATTGACGTAAAGAATGTCGATTTTCACATATCTAAAGGTGATACTCACAGTTGGCTTGGCTTTAATCATAAGAATAAGTCTGAATATTCTCATTTGAAAACCTGAAATTTGAAATGATCAAATGATCAAACTGGGGACCAGACAGATGGTTCAGCTCTGACTGCTTTTTCAGAAGACCCAGATTTGATTCCTAGAGCACCCGCTTAGCAGCTCACACCTGTCTATATTTCGAGTTCTGAGAGGACAAATGCCCTCTTTTGACTTCCATGGGCAGCAGGAATGCATGTGATATATATACACACAGCACAGACAAAAACCTCATACATGTGTGTACGTATATATATTCTTTTTAAAAATTACATGATCTTTTAAATGCCAATATGGTCCACTAGTGGACCTTCATACTTGACCCCATATGTCAGGTTGTGGGCACACTAAAAGTATAATATAAAGTTACCTTCAGGCTACGTTATATGAAACATCAGTGAATTTGAGGAGGTGGCCTGGGTCACAATCCCCCAGATATCTATCATACATATGCAAATATCTAAAAAAAAAAACTGAGGAAAAAAATCCTAAAACAATCAAATAGAGAATATTTGACCCATAGTTTAATCGTGAAAAAGCCTAAAAGTCCTTGAACTAGATTGTCTCAGAGTTGTTATGGTCCAGCCAATAAATGAATGATTACACTTCCTGCATTCCCAAGAGAAATATGAATTCTGTATATAGATATTAAGAAGTATTTAATCATACAACGAGGACTAGCGTAGCAAATTCTGTAAATAAAGGGGAAATGCAAAACAACACACTTGACTAAGCATTTCTTCAAGGCAAGCTATAGCCGTAGGTTATACAGCATGTAGAGTCAAATGTGCCTTGGAAATAATAAGCCACCCAAAAGCATAGCTTCTGTTGGTTTCAAAATATGAACACAAACACTCCAGTGTTTAGTAAGTCCAACACATTAGTTTTCCCTAGAGCAGTTCGTAGTTTTCCCTTTTCTTTAGCCATATCCTGCAGGAAATGGCTACCTTCTGGTTAGAAATCACATCTAAAACAGAAACAAAACATGCCTACTACCACATATAAAGCTATAAAGTAAGTAACTTCAGTAAAATGAACACACATGATATACCTCTACTGCATATTCCAGGGAATGCAGTGTGTCACACAAACCATTATCTAAGTCCCAGCCCTGAGGAGGCTGAAGAAGGAAAATCTGAAAGCTTAACTTTTTTGTTTTTTTGAGCCAAGGTTTCTCTGTGTAGCCTTGACTGTCCTGGAACTCACTCTGTAGACCAGGCTGGCCCTGAACTCACAGAGACCACTGCCAAGCTAAATTTTATATGAAATCCCTTGTTATTTAATTTTGAGGGAGACCTTGACAAAGGCTTTTATGATATATAAGTGGTGAATCTGGAGTGTAAAGTGAACTCTGTGAGTGGTGTGCTTTTGTCAAATTCTCCGTAGTATACAAACGTTCTAGGAAAGGTGCACACATTTTATTTTACATATACCTAAGTAAAAACGGCCACTGATACTCATTTTGCACTCTCTGCATGAAGAAGCTGGCAGCCCATAACCTTAGAATGGAAAGCCAGAGGTCAGAGGCCAGATGCCCTGGTGCATGAATGCAAAGGGTATTGTGTATGTCTGTCAAAAGGCAACATTTCCCATCAATCACTGCAGTTCTATCTGAAACGCTGGTTGGCTGTAGGTCCGCCTTACTTTATGTCTTCACTTAACATATGTACACATACATCTGCGATGACTCTCCTTTCAAATCTCCCCCTAGCCTCTCTAACCAGCTACTTACCTTGTTGGCTATGAGACAGTGCTGATTTTCTGCACCGCTTGTTCGCATTGTCTATTTTGGTCCAAGTACAGGTGAGCTCTTGTGTATTGCGATCATATTATTAATGTTAAATGCTAACTCTACGTGACAACTGTCGCATCACACCACTGATATGCTTTCACAATTGGCAGATTATCTGTAAAGGGGAGCGGCCCCATTGACCATATGTTTCCACCTGCTAAGCTGGAGCAAGAGAATAAAGCCTGGCTCCTGGCTTCTCACAGTGCCAGTGTGGGCTTCCGTGACGCCCCTCTGTCCACCCAGCTTCCAGGCTTCAGCTCAGCCACTGAAGTTTTGTTCACACACACACACACACACACACACACCCTGGCTCCATGCCTTTGCATATTCTTTGCCCTTACCTGGAATGTCATTTTTCTCAAAAATAGCTAATGTTTTAAACAAATCTAAAAGAAGTTTGTTACTCTTATTGTAAGAAAAAAATTATAAAGTATTTGATCCCAGATATCAAACAGTATCTTCTGAAACTCACTTCCTAATTTCAGTAATAGCATACAGAATAAGGGGGGGAAATCAGGTAAAATGGTAACTTAAACACATCTCACTTTCTAAATCCCTTCAAGAAGAATCAAAGCAGTTAAGTGTCTTCCATCAGCAATGGAAACTAAGGAAGGGTGGCATTTCCATAGCTTAAACTTAAGCCTCGTACTCAGGAGTCAGAGTCAGAGGCATGCAGACAGATCTCTAAGAATCTGAGGCCAGCCTCGTCTACATAGTTAGTTCTAGGCCAGACAGGGCTACATAGTGAGCCTCTGTCTCAAAAAACAAACTCTAAGACGCTCTGCTACGTAGATTAAGTGTGTATATTTATTGGGGGGGGGGTTACCAAGAGCTTTCTCCCAATTACCTTACAAAGAGAATAAAAATGGGGGTCAACCTTGCTAGTATCCTCTATCCTACAGGGCTGGGGCTCAAGAGGAGCAAGAAACCAAGAACATAAAGCACAGCCTTCATGAGCACTATCTGAGGAGTCCGTAGAAGGACGATCCTGAGCACAGGTCAGGAAAAGCTATAGGCTCTATCTAACACAGACAATGACTAAGCAAAAGCAGACCCAGTGGCTTCCACATCCAGGTTTCTCCAGAGAATAACCTACATCCAAGGAATAATTTTTTTCCCTAGACAGGACCTC